GCCTTATTGTCATGAAGGAATTTCATCCATGGTGTAGGGATTTCCAATTTCCCACAATAACTGAGCGGAAGACGTCGAATGGCGTTCGATGGTGTTATTGATGAGTTTCTTCTGTAATGGATCAGTAGAACCAAGTGAACTGCTGGGAAATTGTTCGCAACATTCCGCTCGATTAACTTTTTCAAACCTCGGATTTCCAAGGTTCATTGGTACTATTCTGTATAGAGTGCTTGGGACCCCAGATGGGGGAGTTCTCACTGGTCGATCATGAGCTATGCGTGAACGAAGCGGCAATTCAACCAATAAGGAAAGCGTGAGCTTTACGCTTTACAGGATAGACCGTACCCATCACCCTCGAGTGTAAATATGAAAAATTGTGACTACTAGTAGCTTGGTCCAGGCACGATAACCGATGACCGTCTAAAATCCCATTTCCATCTGATCTCTCCATTAAACTACCAGATTGGAGGAATTCCAGGACTGCAAGTGTAACTTTTAGTTCCAACAATTTAGAATAAACTCACGCATCAGGCAGAGGACTGAGAGCCGCACTAGGGCTTGTTGATTCGTTCTGATCTCCGTTAGGTGGGAATAGACTGTCGCTTGGAGGAAGCGACACTAACGGTTCGACCATTTTCGTCAACAGCTCTCCACATACCACCATAGTCGGCTCGACAATGAAGTCGATGAAACCTTAACACCAGAGTTCAAAATCGAGAAAGCAAGTTAGTATTGAAGGGAGTTTGTATTGGCACTGTGCAACTCATGAAATTTGTCACAATGTTCTTTTGAAAGGTCCTGAATGGTTTAACGATTCAATCGAAGCCAAAACTTCAGTCTACGCTGGGTTAGATCGAGGCATACTACCTGTCCAGTTGTAATGGTGATGGCTTTTAGGCAAAAATCTGATTCGTCGATTCGGATAAGCATTTCAAACCACCTCAAATGAGTGACAATGGCTGGATTGTAGCAATCCCTCCTACATATGGGAAATCATATGGGAAATGCTGCATGCCCTTTGAACTCCAGATTCAACAAATGTGTGGAAGCTCGAAGAGTTCTTGCACTCTGTGTTACCCAGGGGGCTTCCAAGGTCCAAAATCCAAACCGGGATTCTGGCTTTCACGCCCCCAAAACTTTTTTCAATCTCTTTCGATTTTCTCGGCTCAATGCTATTTCCACCCTGTGTGGCTCTTGTACCAATAACCTCTAAGGTGTTTTTGGATAAGTTTAGAGATAAAAATCAAAGTACAAAAGATACCGTTAGGTACTTCATGAAGGAATTCAGGCTTAATTTGGAAAAATGGAAAGCTTACCGATCTGACTGTCAGCCACGTGAACTGTATGTCGATCACAAAGTGGAGAATAGGGCAGTCCCATGGATGCTTCCAAATCACCTTAAACTGATATTTTTTAATTGCCAGTCACAAATATATGAGAGTAGTATGCCTAGTTACAAGCACTTTGAAATAGCTGTCGATCTCTATGATACGAAATTAGAAAGTAGTCAAATCAAAAATCATGAAGTAATGGGTAAAATTGAAAATTATCTACAGTAATCAACTAAATTTTTGTCATGAATCGAATATTTGTCATGATCTGAATATTTTGCTGCCCTTTTGCAAAATCAAGGGGGTTTTTACAAATTTTATATTTTCCTAAAAAAAAGCCCTAAAATCGATGATAAGGCTACTGACCTTGTCGAAAGAACTCCTCGAGCACACCCTGTGTCCACCGTTCATGCAGCTGCCATGGCTTTGAAGGATGGGAGATGTCACAGGCGTGGACAATCAAACACAATGCCTTGTTTTTGTCGATCCTGAAATTGATATGATGTAAATTCGATGGTGTAGTAGTACATTTGAAATAGTAAAATACACTAATCATTGATTTTTCTCTTTACTTTTCTTATTTCTTTTCTTTCTCTCTTCATATTCATATTTCTGGATGTATATGTACTAATAAAAAGCAATATTGACTGGGAAGGAACGTACCCCTCTGGTAACGAAAGCATATTCTTCATAGTTTTGATTTGTACAAAATGAGTGGACATGTCGGTGGCAAGGACGATCTCAATGACCATATTCCGGAGTTCTCTGGAATTTTAATTTTTTTAAAGATATTTTAGTGATCAAAATCCCTACCCCAGTAGTCTTACCTGTATTCATCCCTGGTAAGATGTGAGAAGATGTTCTTATCATCCTCCTTCATCAGACGGAAACATGCTGACACGTGATGATTTTCCAGAACACTTCGATCATTATACAGTAATGCGATATTAGACCTAAAGTACCCAAATTAATATTTGAAGGCCTGAACCTACCAGCAAAAAGGTTTTTTCGAACTAAGGATTCATTCCGAATATGGATAGATTAACCCTTCGACGACAATGCGGATTTCGACGTGACGCGCCCATGGGACCGGGACCATGCTGCCTCTTTTTTACGCGCGACTGGCACCCACCGGTGGAAGGCACTGTCCCAGGAGAAAGTTCTCTCACTGGTTTACTGAGTTTAGCAACTGGCAAGAAGCAAGAAAGTATGGTGGCACCCGAAATTGCCAATGCCCCATGCGCCAGTCGTAGTGGCACCACCGGTGGGTGCCATTGTCGTCAAAGGGTTGAATAATTTTAGAAAACAAAAAAAAAATCTTCTAGTAATTATATTAGTCGGAATAAACGAAAATTAATATTTGCTCACAATGTAAAGATGAATCATTGATGGATGAAGGATAAAGCCTTTGGACTATATCAGTCCCATCCGAGGAATACGCCCACATTCGACTCCCACTGAGAATCGTACTGTCGTATTATGACTTATGTGTAAACCTATAAAATCCCTTGCGGTGGCCAACCGATGAGCAAGCCAGCGCTTCTGTCCTCACAGTCGAGCCTGGTACCAATTAACGGAGCCCGGAGGAATGGAAGGTCGGCCTAGGCGG